TCACGAGCGTGAGAACTACGAGTTCTCTAACCACTCTCACACTCCTACTCTCTCACCAGTCAGGGGGAGGGAAGGAGGGAGGAAATGAAGGAAGAAAGGTGGGGGAGAGAGAATAGGCAGGGGGGAGGAGGGCCTAGATACATTTCTTCCATATAGATAGGTACTCTGAGGGAGAGCTGCTTGCCAAGAGCCCTATCAGACAGGCTTCCTATTCCTCAACCCTCCCTAATATGCCACATCCTGGTCAGGACAACTTGCTCGATTGTTATTCTTGGTGTGACTCGAGAACTGACCTCGAGGCGGGGCATGGGCATGGATTATCTCCCTGGGGCACGCACCTCCCTGCCCCAGCTCTCTCTCTCTCTCACATAATCTATCAAGGGTCTAACATGAGGTCATTGTGCCTACCAGAAGTGTATATGTCCAAGGCTGGCCACCTGTCTGGACCATTCAAATGTATAAACACGTAATTAGTCTATTAAAATTATATATAATGCTACAATTATAAATTAATTTGTTCGTGGTCATTCGTTTATCAGTATTTTAATATGAGGTATATATACGCATGTATGTATACATTGACGTACACATATATGATTATGTGTATGGAATGATTATGATTATGTGTAATCATATATGATTATATCTAATGGAATGCATTAGTAAGTGATGTGGTGGAGGCTGACTCCATACACAGGTTCAAGTGTAGATGTGATAGAGCCCAATAGGCTCAGAAACCTGTACACCTGTTGATTGACGGTTGAGAGGTGGAACTAAAGAGCCAGAGCTCAACCCCAGCAAGCACAATTAGGCGAGTATATGAACGAATGCACATGTACACTTTCAAATGAATTAAGATACCTTGAGATACACAATGACTTAGTTTAAATAGTTTAAACACATTATGGTACTGATTTTGACATGCTGATGTCTGGAAGGGAGAGGGGGTGTGGGGGGTTATTGTCTGAGGTGGAGGACCAGAGGAGGGGGTCAGTGGAAGGATGGTGGCTGGAGGGATGCCATTGTTCTAATGGTTATGAAAACAATTATTGATGGCAGGAATTCAGTGGGTGTGTACTTCACCCGCACCATCACCATACTGTGCCCTGCTACAACCCCCCCCCCCACTCCACCCATGCTGTGCGGGGTGTATTACACATTATGGGATAACCGACTGTCTGTCCATTCCTGTCTGCTCGTTATGCTGCCCTTCCTTTTGAAAATTGTCTGCTTTATCGACTTCCTTCAAGACCACACGTTAGCCTCTTATCACGCCCTCTTACCACTCTCAGGGAGCCGGCTCTTCTATACAATAGTTACCACTCAGTCCCCAAGGTGAAAGAGTGTCCGGGCATATGACTTGTTACGTGTACTTATTTGCGATTCGTTTGGGCTGTCACGTGTGGTGATTAGTGTTGGGTAAGGCTAGGCCAGGTCAGGTCAGACTAGGCCAGGTCAGGTCTGGCTAGGCCAGGTCAGGCCAGGCCAGGCTAGGCAGGGTGAGAGAAGTAAAGCGGCAGGTACTTACGTTTCCGAGAAAGTAGCGGCGGTAGTATATTGTTGATTTAGATTCGACGACATCCTGAAGCTAGTAGGTGGCGGCCTCATCGCTCTCGAACTTCTTGTTGTTGTAGGGGATACGAGGCACACCCAATATCCCCCTTACATTGATCACATCGCACACTAATATTTTTACTTTTTCGGACACCAGATTTGTCTGTTTCGTATATGTATAATTGTTCAATATTAAAACCACAATAGAATGCTCTAAGTACTTTCGTATATTAATACATCTTCAGAAGGAATGGTTCGCTCTGAAGATGTATTAATATAAGAAAGTACTAAAGGAAATTCCTGTTTCAATTCTTCCTCCGTGGTCTGACACTCTTATTATATATTGTATATACTGAATTATATATACTATGCTTATATAATATATACTGAAATATTGTTACATTTAACGTATGAAACAAAGTATATATCTGTATTTTTAATAAAATATAAAACATTAATATTTATCAACGTATCTCTGTGAATTACATAATTTATCAGTATTGTACAGCCTGTGATCTCCACCTGGCTGGCCACTGATACCTAAGTAGCTTTCATGTGTCCGGACACCGGCGATAGGATTGTATTATTTAACTTTAAAGAGAGAGATATTTCTTGAAATGTTGTCACATTAACGTCTACATCTTCCTTCCTTCTGACATATAGATTTTAAGGTTAATTAGCATATATGGAAATAAATTACACAATTTATAGGCTGGTGTGAAGGGCTTCACACTCTTAGAGCAAGCCATCAAGAAACTGTACAGTATCAAATGCATATATCTTCGCTTTCACTTCAGTTATATTTATGACAAGTATTTAAAGTGTAGCTTATATTTCTGCCTTTCTGTTGACATAGAAAACTTTCGTTTATTACATTATCTAGATAAAATTAGCATTGATCTTCAAAAGGTTGTAGTTGTAACTTCCATTATAAACAACATTATTATTGCAAACAGTAGGAGTTTCAAAGTCTCATTTGTATGGATACCTTCTCATATAGGTGTTGTCCAGCATGATGACACAAACAAGGCAGCTAAAACTGAATGTGATAAGCCTGAAGTTGAGTGGGATATGGGCATTCCAATCTCTTCTGTCAAAGCCGCAATATTTTAGGAAATTAGGGAAGACAGAAGAGCAGTCACTGACACACAAAAGCCAGAAAGTAAGAGTATAAAGAGCTATGACATGTTTATGTGCCTCTGTAACCTTTTCCACTACCGCCCACAAGATGATATATGGGGTGCATAATTAATGAACTAAACTAAGTAAACATGTTTAGAATCGAGAATTATATGAACGGACAGCATAAAACTTCCACTAGTGTCACAATGACAGTGTGACATTGTAATTGCCAGAATTAGGCTAGGATATCGATATGTATCGCAGGTGGCTGCAGGTAATGAATAGCCCCCAATGGTGAATATTCCAATTGTAAACTATGTGAACAAGAGCTGGGACATACTCACCAACACTATATCTGTGATTGCCCTGTTATAAGTGACTTCAGACCAAATGGTATAAGGTACTTTGAACTCTGTAATTACTTCACACACTTAGGAATATTGGAAGATATTCTTATGCTGTACCCGGATTTTGCTAACGGAGGCTAATAGATCAGCCTTATATTTTATGTTCTCACCTGATTGTTACCTTGAGGAAGGCCCGTAAGTGGTAATCCTCTTGAACCATTAACAGTATCAATAGATGATACTGGAGATCTGTGGAGGTGCGACTGGACCCTGCGTGACGGGAGATGTATCCCTTGTTTCTTGTGATTGATTGATGAGGATTAAGCCACCCAAAAGGTAGCACGGGCATGAATAGCCCGTAAGTGGTGTTCTTGTTAGTCACAGTTGATTTTTTTTTATTGAGGCTGGTATTTTATCCCGATTCCATGTATAACTAACCATCCTGTGAGATGGGAATATTTAATGAACTTATAGCTAGTTTTTGATATACACTGTGTAATCTTTCATATAGAATAGGGTAGCAGCACATTACTGTGTATACCTAAGCTTGTTAATAATAACAAAAAAAAAAGTTAGTTTCTATCGATAGGGAGAGCGATGGTTCAAAAATCCTTCTTTAAAATATGAATATCTTTCCTATCTCACTAAGATCTAATCTCTGTGATTAAAATGCAAAATTGACTTTGTCACTGCCTTTTTGATAACGTATACAATCATAAGCTTATTTGTGAATCTCTATTAAACAGTAAATCAGAGAGCTTGTAAGGTTCCGTGTTCCATGTCCGAAGAAACGGAGATTTTACATAAATACAGTACATGATAGTTTAAGTAGCGAACGCATACCAACAAATAACGATTAGTATCTATAACAAAAATATTGTTCTATGGAGTTGATTTAACTTCCAACCATGTATTTTTAAATAATCTTTAACGTTTTCTGGCTAGTTATGTTAGATTTGATTAAAAATACGCATTCTACTTGTTAATATCGTTAGATTTGATTAAAAATACGTATTCTACTTGTTAACATCATAAATTAAATTTGCGATAATTTGAGCAGAGAAGTTTGAAGACTGGATCACTGTGTACAGAAGGTTGATATGCCAGCAAACACTTTCCAGAGAGCAATATATCTTGGATAAGTCGCTTCACGATATTGTTGCTTGGACCATCGACTTCCTTTGATATTACATATTTACATCTTATTTTGTTATGAAATTATATTTTTTCAATGTAAAATTATGTTTTCTCATTTTCTGCATCCAGCATCCACATTACAGTGAGTAAATATACCATATTACTTCATTGCTTACGTAATGCTAGGAAGGTTTGAGTAGCTTTGGGTCTTTAGTGGACAGAATCTCCAATAGATGGGGCGAGAGTCGCCCCATCTCTCTCGCCCGGGCGGGACTCGAAACTTAAATTAAAATTGCTATGTCATTGGTCTCCAACATGATATATTTCCTTTGATGCACTCACAATAACGATTATAGCTCTGTCTTTCTGGAGGCATGTAATATTTTAGGCTTTATTAGCGTATCTTTGTTAATTAAGGTTCAAACACCTCCACAGGATACTTGATCAACCAGGCTGATTTATATGTCAGCAACCTGGTCCAGCAACTAGGAGGCCTGGTTGAGGTGAGGACCGGGCCGCAGGGACGTAGAGCCCCGAAATCATCGCAAGGTAACCCCATGAGGGTACATGTGTTATTGAGTTAAATTAATAGAAACTTGCAATGATAACTTCCATAACCAACATGTCAATGGCCCCAGAATAATGAGGTATAAGAGAACTACTTAAATACAGTATAACCTGATATTCACTCGCATATAGGGGCAGTCAACTTCAGAGGCCTTATGGGAGTGAGTGATTACTGTGTAATGGCATTTTAGTATGGTGTTGCAGTATGGCTGCATTGTTTTGGTATAAGGCTTGGTGTTAGAAAGCTGAAATGTGAAAAGGTAACGAGAACATTTTCCCTTCCTTATGCCAACATTAATTGTACTACACCACCCTAGTGCAGAGAGAGACTGGATAGCAATGGAGCAAGCCTACCTTATGCTACCTTTCAAGATAGGTGCCTCATGACCTCTACAGTTCCAGCTACATGTGGGGGTCCTTTACACAATCTTCCACACAATGAAGTTCATCACTGCTTAAATGTGGTATACTATGATGCTATTCCAGATATGTTGCCAAATGTCAATCCTTCTGTGGCATCCACAGTGAGTTTATCCCACTGGAACTCCCTACATTGTTCCTAGCCCAGCCATCACTGGTGCCTCTGCTTACTCTGTCACCACCACATATATTGGGTATCCTGCTTGAACTCCATCTCTTTCCTTCAGCCAGATAACAGAGATGAGGATGACTTTACCTTGAGGGCTTCACAATTCACCTGCCTACTATGTCCCTTGATCAGATGTCCTTCATAGGAAAGAGGGAGTACTGTAACATCCTGCCAGACACTACAACAGCCCTCAGTCTCCTTGGTATGGCAGAACATTTGTGGCTGCCTTTGGTCATGCCTGAATCCAACTCGAAAGTGAGCCCATTGATTGGTCAACTTACAAACAGCAATGGTTGGCAGGCAGCCAATCGTTTATATAGACAAATAACATTGCTGATACTGTACTGGAACTGAACCCTGTGGTACTCCACTAGTAACATTTATCCAGTGTATACGTAATATAGTAGTATAAGGCTTATGCCTATATAAAGAACCACATAAATTAAGAAATTTACAAGTGCTTTAGTGTTTAACAAATCAGACTGCCGTGAAATATTAAGTAGAGCAGACCGCACAATTTCTACACAAATTCAAACCATCACCAGAGATAGCCCGACTGCAACACCAAAATCAGTGACAGTAGGAGATTAGCCATAGCTCAAGCACTTTCTATTAAGTGTACTTGTCTAAATTTCAATAGTCATCTTGCACTTGGATGTTGATTTACAAGAATAAAAGAGACATCAATTTACACCACACCTACTGCCTCAACCAACCAATTAGAATACACAAAGATTATCTAGTTGAGCCTGGCTGCAGGCTGGGCTTGGGGAGTAGAACAACTTCCAAAACCCTCTTCAGGTATGCCAAATCCACTTAGCTTGGCAACCACTTCACATCTTGCTAACTGCATGGTATGTATATGGCTATCTGCCCATTTGTATTCACTTAGTATCTGCAGAAACAGAGGATAAGGTGGCTTTAGCAAAATACATCTTTTAGCAACAAGTTGAGCCGATTAAAAGTAAAATTAACTTTTGTTGACCAGACCACACACTAGAAATTGAAGGGACGACGACGTTTCGGTCCGTCCTGGACCATTCTCAATTTCTTTCAATTTTTCATTCAATTCATTCAATTCAATTCAATTTCTAGTGTGTGGTCTGGTCAACATACTTCAGCCACGTTATTGTGACTCATCGCCTGCAAAATTAACTTTTGTTAATTTTTCAACTTCAAGTGAAGAATATCATGAGAAAAATTGTGAAAATTCATGCTTGAATCCCTGATCTAACCCCCCTTTCATTCATATTAAATAACACATCAAAATATACAGCATGACCCTTTCCAAACTGCGTGCAAACACATGCAGTACATATATACAAGTGGTATATCAGGGACTGTAAATGTATGTGGTGAAAATTGATATAGTATCAGGGGATGCTGCTGCATTGGTAATTAGAAGAAAAAGAGCCAATTGTAGAAGAGTAGAAATCCTATTTTGTTTTTCATTAGAGACCAAGTGATCTGCTATCTAATCTGTTAATTTGGAGTAAGAAGAAAATAAAACTATGCCTCTTGGTTATTTTATTGGACAGTATGTATAAACAGAACTTAACTTAGAGCACGTAAGCCTTTACAATACTGGGTGTCCTTGCCTGTATACCTCCAGACCTAATATCAGTTTCGTTAAGGACAGTGCCGTTATTGCACTTGTAATAGAGGTCACCGAGAGTTTTGCTGCTTCTGTTAAACTGATGAAATAGCTGTACAAAGGCAGGCACTTATACAATATTTTTGTACAATTGTTACTTTATAACAAGGGAGAATAAACCATTAGACTGATCTACAGGAGATCAGTGATCTTTGCCTTGTTGCAGATCACAATTTTTTACTCTACTGCAATATCTCAAGGTTTGGGCATCTTTTGAGAAAAATTAGTCTTACAATAAGTTATTTTCATTTTTTGAACTGGTCTTGTAAAACTAGTCATATGTAGGACACATTATGTAAAGGGCCTTGTATACATGTACACTTTCTTCTGCTTTCAGAAAAATATGCACCACTAGAGTCCATCTTTAACATTTATCACCAAAGGCCTTAGTTTGTATAAGCAACAAATATTACCAATACATTTGACCTCTATGGACAAATCTACAATGTATTGGTCATAATATTTTGCCTTGAAGAAAAAAATGATGATGCTGTAATAAATATAATATAAAAAATGATAGTTGGAATGCATTTCAAAACAAATGTAAAAAAGTAGATTAAAGGATAATAGACCACCTGAGTTGAGACTGTGGAAAACTAATGTAGGAACTTATACAAGTTTGGCAGGATTAAAAAGCGTATATATTAAAAATTTCAATTTTAACAAAAACAACCTATACTGTAGTTAACTATTTACTGAAATGTTTAACCTTAATATAACCTTTTACAGTTAAACCCTTCCAAGAAACACCTCAAAATTACACACCTTTAATGGAAACCAGGAATGCAAGCCAACAAAATACACATTTGTCAGTGCATGAGCTAAAATGAAATACTGTAGTGGTTGATAATAAATGTTAATAACTAACTTTGCTTGCTATCCTGTAAGGATATATAATTATACTGAAGCACCAAACCTATGCCAGCATATTATAATATATATTTTTGATGCAAATACTTAAATGTACAATGTAAGGCTCATTGTTGGTGGTAGTGGGTAAATGTGGCCTGGTCACACGTTATGATTGCTAGTCTACAATGCTGCCGAGCTAATGGCCGAAAAGAACGAAGAGATGAATATTTAAAGTAAAGATTTCTAAATGAAGTTGAAAAGATTTAGTACTAAACTCTGGTAAACAAATGTAATATTGCTCAGTGAAATACAGTATGTACAGATTGCCTTTTACAGCAGGTAATAATGTGAATGCTTGAGCACTTGTTATATTTAGTGCATCGGTGAAGCAAAGAACTGCTTGGCACTTTTAGAATTCTAGCTGGCAGTGAACACTATGTACAGAAGACGGACAAATAACAGACACACAGGACGACACACGTAGACCTGAGGTAGTGGTATTGTACAAGAGTGGGGGGTGGGGTCACGTGATGGCAGAATCTATTTACAATTTAAAGGGTTACTGGAGTTTGGTGAGGTATAACAACTCGTTAGTGAATAACATTTTTATGGAACAAATGTGACGGTAATGGGTAATTTTAACTTTTAGTAACAACTCGATATCCAAGCCAACTCAACCAGTCAGCTCTTGTGATTTCAACTCTGCATAGTAATTAACACTGAAGGGATTTACATAGGTTAAAGTTAACAACATTTTCTGTTTGGGATTGCAAAAGTAATTATTTTGTTAAATGAAATTGGCACAAAATATTAAAATAGTTATAACAAACACTACCTACTCGGCTTTAAAAGAAAAGATGTAAAATTAAAAGTTACTCTCGAGTGTTGGCACTTTTAAAACTGCAGTTTTATACATCTAAAAATAGATATCCAACTTTCTTTTAACATTCTGATAAATTATGAGAAATTTGGAATATATTAAAAGTACTGTATTTTAGTCCTGAAGATATTTAAATATCATTTATACATGTATGCCTAGATGTATATAAAATTTATAATATATCAACAAACAATGCAATATATGCAAAAATTATCAATGCAATGCATGCTACAGTTCAACATTGGCACCAATACTTCACTACTAAGATTTGCTACTTCATTCTTTTCTCAGTTTTGTCAGATAAATAAACGTACAGTATTCCCAGAGAGGCATACTTGTATAAAAGAGCACCAGAAAGTCAGTTTTGGTTATATGACAAATCTGGAATGTCTACACACCAAACTACACTGCCACTGTAGATCTATTGAGCATTCAAACTTTCCGTCAAGACACTGATGAGGTCGACAGTTCTCATTACACACACTTGTTTCTTTGTTTTAAAATACTTTTAAAGTTGGCACAATATTTGGCACAAATCCAAAATGATGGCTAGGTAACCAGTTCACATAAATGTTCTGAATCATTTAGTGATATCACGCCAAGGAATTCTTGGTAAAGATCACCTGTAAAAAGTTCAAGTACAGGCATCGTATAATGTACTGCTGATTCCTGACCAGCATCCTGAGGTTGAGTTTTGGCCATATTCTTCTAATGTCACTTAAAATTTGCATTCTTATTTCACCTTCATTTATAAATTTAAGATTAAACACAACCTTTTTCACCACTGTCCTTAAATTATCACAGTAAACTACACAGTGAGCTAAGCTGCTGGACTTGTCCCCTCCTACTCAATATATAATGGGTTTTCGATCTCCACATTTTCCCACTTTTATGATGGGACACAAGTCAACAGCAGCATAATTGTGAACTTTGTGGACACTGTCTTAAGTTATGTCAGTGAAATTTTAACACCAATATTTGTATCAACTTGTCTTTTGTATTGCCTCAATTCTCACTAAGGAAGATCATTTAGAGATGAAGTTTGGCTAAAAATATTTATCACCGGTTTAGAATTGTCTTTAGTTGCAAAATTTATGATAAAGATGAACAAAAAAACATCAGGGGCTCGCTGAGCTCTTCTCTTGACAATGTGCATAAAGAGAGGAAGTGGTCTGCCTTTGCATTCTTCAATTTTGTTTAGTGACAAATGCTTGTTGAGCTAATCGTTTAGTTCTAAACAAAAATAAACATACTCTGGGAGTTTGATATAACAATCTAAAATTGTCAGCACAAGATATAATGGTTATTATGCATAAACTTTAATGGACACTATACTAATTAACAAAAACAATTGGGGCTTAAATCTGGCCAGCAGACTCAGCATTTGAGGATGAACAAATTGAGAGCCAATAATGTAAAGATGAACTTTAAAGCTGGGAGACAGAGCAGAACAAACCTTAATATGGTCATGCAGCATAAAATGTATTAATTTTTATTCATGATTTTTCCAGAATGTACAGTATTCTTATACTGGATTATGCCAGCATTTGAATTTCTAACATTTAAGTGAGGTTTCAGCTGAAAGCATTGGCAATACTGTACTTACATTTCACCGAACTGCAGAAGGGAGAGTTTGAGCTTATATCTGGCAGCCCAGGTAGTGGCTAACCCTCGTTTACAAAGCCAGCACATTGAAGCTTCAATGATTTACCTAAGCTTTTTCATTTGCACTTGGGCTAATCATTCATTTGCTAGCAGAGAAAGTATTCCATTATCTGGGGGTAACATGACGACTTAACGTATCTCCCTGTAAATGCGTGACACTGAACATGAACACATTTTCATTGTGAATTTTCTTTAATAATTGAAAGAGCACTGTACTGTATATGAGTAATTGTTCAGGTCTAAGATGAGCAGCACCAGTTAACTTTTTTTCAAACAAGGATCTGACATCTTGGTACAGCTGTACCATCATTAGACTATTTTTAAGTTCTCATTCACAAATTTATTTTTCACTTTATTTACTATGACACTCTTATTGGTAAAGGTTGCTATAATATTGATATTTTCCATGCTTCATTTCATTTTTTCCCAGCCCGTGGAGATGAGCGGGCCTTGATGCGTGCTTGCAGAGTCAGCAAGAGGCCTGCCAGCACATCATGGTTGTGTAGTTTCTTGCCAAAAATGAGACGACGAACAGAGTCGTCGTAAGTCAAAAGTGCAACCATATTCTGGAGGAGGAAGCCTTGACAGTATTCAAGAAGCTGCACTGCATTATATACCTGTCAACAAATTTGAATTAATTAATGTTATGCAAGTTGACATTACAGTATGTTAAAGTACAGTACATGCTACAAAATTCTAACATTTTTACCTGTCACTGTACTTTACACCATTACCAGTACTTTATTTACACCATTTTACCCGTACTGTACTTTACCAAGTACGTACCTGTCAACAAATTTGAATTACTGTAATGTCAACTTGTCACATACCTGACACCACGCCACTTTCCTACTGCCATCCAGGAACCAACCAGTGTGACAGCTAGGCAGCCTGTATGGAGGCTTGTTCAATGTTGGGAGCTGACTTATGTGATGAACAAAGGCCTAGATTTGAATTTTTAGTGGAACAAAGTGAGGTCAACCTGTTGTACAAGTCAAATTCAAGTTAACTTGTACACCAGGATTTACAGTACAACAGGGAAAGCTAACAATTCAGGCATAGAGAGAATGAACTAGGAATCTAGAAAAATTACTAATATACTAAGTACTGAACTGATTGATGAACTTTTCCTTTCATGTATACCCTTATAGACTGACTCAATGATTGGGAATCTAGAATACATTATAACAGATAAAATAGTTGTAATATACTAGCAGAGAAGTGTCATAATTAATAGCATTTTCCTATGTTTATAATGATAGCTTACCTTAGCATGGATATACATGGAAACTACATTATCAAGATGGACAAGTTTTGAGCAGCGAGACTCGCAGTATCGAAGAAGAGAATCTAGTTGGAAGAAATTTGCCGCCGCCATTAACTCGAGTACATCTCCGGCCTCCACCTCCAGGTTCTCACACCCGCCTTTGTAGAGAGATTGCATCACTAGCTGCAGGAAAATATTAATTGCACAATGTTTAAGAAAGCTTGCACAAGGAAATGACTAGAACTTTATATCTCTCTTAAGAAATCATACTCATCTATGAAAGCATCTGTAGTATATTAAATGAAATGAAGCTTTATAAAATAAAAATTGTTTAATTATCAGCACTACAACCCCCCCACCTCCAAAAAAATATACCAGTAATTTATATTTCATTAATACCCTGTACTGTATTCTTAATTACCAAAGTAACTGCTGTATAATAAACATGTACATTAAATTTTCACATGAAAAACAGAACTTGTATAGTTAAAAATGAATATTCACATTACCTCAAAAATGTCGTATCTGATATCGTGTATTTGAACAATCGGTGGGTTTCCCTCACAAAACTTGGAGCTTAACATTTGCTTGAATCTTGAGGAGGCATTTACTAAAATAATCTTGTGAGCATAAAACACACGACCTTCAACTCGAAATTGGACATCAGAGAGTTCTGGATTGTTAACAAACTTTGGGTCAATTCGAGCTCCGCCTGATATGGTAGTGTCACGAATTTCTTTAATTGGTTCTTTACCATAGCATGATGAGAAGATGTCTGCTAGTAGTAGAGATGTGCCCTCATTCTGTCAATACCACACCAATTATTAGAAGTAATAACTAAATTAATAAAATAGATGTTGGAAAGCATTGCATTCTTCCCCAGAAGGAAATAGGTACTAAGTTGAAACCAGATATCAGGCAAAAACAAACCTTGCTGTATCTAAAGATAGTGAAGAGGAGTGGCAAACACTCGTCCACAAACTGGGCGGAGTAATCATCTGGCCAGACTTGAAGAAAGTCTTGCAGCAACTGATCAATTATGGACTCAAGCCGGTGTTCATGAGCAGTAGCTAGTGTGTGCATCCAACAGTGCAAGGTCCACGGAACTCCTAAGTTCCGCAAGTCCAAAGTCATTTCTGATGAAAGAACAATTTTGGTAATACATCTTGTTATAAAAAAGGTGTCAAATATAAAATAATAGAGAACAGTACATCTTCTGTACCAGGTGAGTATGATGGGCTCACCACAACCCGTGCTGCTTGGAAAATTTTTCCAAGCAGCACGTTGTTTGCAAAATTAACTTTTGCAAACAAAGTGGTAGACAGTTGGAACAAGTTAAGTGAGAAGGTGGTGGAGGCCAAAACTGTCAGTAGTTTCAAAGCATTATATGACAATGGATAGACGGGACACCAGAAGCGTAGCTCTCATCCTGTAACTACACTTAGGTAATTGCACACATACACACAAGGTGATACTGTACTAGGTTCAGTATATTAAATATAAACATTTAAGGCATACCAAGATGTCCAGATTCTGCAGAGTGGTACATTGCTTCCTGGAGCGTCTTTATTTGTTGCTTTGTCAATTTCACAACCTGAGAGGAGTCAGAAGAAGCCACACTTCCTCGTCCCACAGGATCATCAATAACGCACATCTGTCTTCCAGGTCGTCGATCTCGATCACACGTATTGCCTCCATTAGCACCTTCAGCCAGAATTTCTTCTAGAGATAGAACCTCTCTAGCTGATGCATGCTAAAATATGTAATTTGGAATAAGGTAAAATCTACTGGAAAATACTGTATTGAAATATCTTAAAAGATTACCATAATTGCCAGCAGATAGAATGCATGTTTTTCGTCCACTACTGACTATATATTGTATCTACATGCACAAAAAAAAACGTGTTTCCTATAAACACTTGAAAATCACTTTTGTATGGTGAAACATTCTAATATAGTTTTTTCCACAAAATATCCTTTTAACTTTTCTTGTCGTCTATGCAGGAAATACGTCAAGTTATTGTGTTAATACTGTACTTTTCTTGTTTGTGTGTAGAATAAGTACATAGACACACACTTGCACTAGCAAAAATAAAACAAAATGACCAAGAAACAGCTCATGAAAGATCTACTATATTTACACAAATTTCATACCATTGCTAACTTCCTATACAGTTCATAATAAGTTTTTAATCATAGTGTCTCAACAAATATAGGTAAAGCTCCTGTACCTGAGGCTGGGATAAAAGCTTATGTAAAATAGATTTCTGGCCATGAGCCGCAGCAACAGCAATGGCAGCATAACATCCCCGCTGAGCGGCACCAGAGTAGCACAGCGAGTCCTTCATCAGCGTCGACAGATAGGGGTTGGCACCATAAGACAAGAGAAGAGCCATCATGTCGGTGTGACCAGCCGCAGCAGCAACCTGAAAAGGTACAAGAGTGTCATGTACACAGCCTCTCATTACACTTTCTGCTCCTAGAGAAAGGTGGCGATGCTTTTGAGCACAATAGGTGTTGTTGTCCAGTGGTATACATGCTCACTACTTGTACTACTCATTCATACTGATAAAGATGGATATACCTCTACTTGTTACTCCCACACACATTACTGAATACAGATATAGTTGCTACAACCACAAACATGGAAATATAGGGTTACATTTGTTCCACTATGCCTTCGCTAAATCTATATGCAGTTAAAATTAACCTGCACACATTGAAATTGGGTATAAATGTGCTAGCCCACATACCACCTCCTTGTAAGACAATATTGTTGCTGAACAATGATGTTCACTTATTCTTAACTAATCGTCCCTAGTACTCAGTAGTAATTGGGAACATGAATGTAAATTGATTGATGGATTGATAGAAAACACAGTACAGTACTGAATAAATAAATCAACTCCTGTACTCGACACGAGGCCTAAATTTTCCACCCGCCCCCAAAAAATTAACTTACTAGTATATTTATACTATATATTAGTATATAATATATTATATATTATAATATATACTATATTAGCTAGTGCTAATAAAACTTGAATAATACAGTGTTATTTACTTTTTACAACCCATTATTATGCATATAGTGTACAGGTATGGTGACTTACGTATAGTTTATAATTTTTTAATATTTTTTTATTTAAATATACAAGAGTTCATACATTCTTGTACAGCCACTAGCATTCATAGCATTTTAGGCAAGTCCTTAAATAATCCTAATTTCCCTGGAATACAACCCACCAAATCCTTTATCAACCAGGTACCCATTCACTGCTGGGTGAACAGAGGCTACAGTTAAGGATTGGTGCCAAGTAAATCCTCCCCAGGCCAGGATACAAACCCAGGCCAAAGCGCTCGCAAAATGCAGGGCGAGTGTGGTTACCACTTCATCATGGGGGACAGTAATAATATCTTTAGTGAGGGCTAATAACAAATACAGAATATTTCCAGCAGGAACACAAAACTGGAACAATGTTGGATGAACACCATTAATGCTGATTCGACACTGGATCAACATCATTAATATTGGTACAACACTACTCCAATGTTGTGTTGGCCTGTTGGATACATCTCGGCTGCTCACCTGCAGAGGAGTCTCTGTACACTTTTCCTCTGCAAGTCTTGCTCCACCCTCCACATTACCACCTTTCTCAAGTAAGGTTTTGGCTATGTTTATATGTCCGTGTATGGCAGCATAGGTGAGGGCAGTCCAGTGTTGGGTCTCTGGATTGGCCATGAGGTAAGCGGGACCAGTAGGGGGCGTTTCAGCATCCACATCGGCACCGGCATCAAGCAACATGTTTACCATTGGCTCGTCACCACGAATGCAAGCCAGCATGAGGGGTGTCAGTCCGTACTCATTGACAGTATTAACCTAGAAATGGTGAAGACACAAGTCAGATCAGCAATTAGAGGAATAGTTCTGTCATTCTTCCTTCTGTTAATATAAACATTCTTGACCAATTACAGTTTTAACAGTCTGATATACATAGCTGCAATCAAACAAGTAAGTCATTCATGTTTCGTGAGCTTTGGATTCAATGAACTGTACAATATAGTACCTTCAACCCATTATTATGCAAAACACATTAGTTGTCAGAACTATAATATCTTATTGTATATGGAACCAGTAAATCAAGATGACGATAATGAGAAATGATGGTGATGAAGTCTGGATAATTATACTGGTGATGAAATTAGAAGTCTGGATAATTACACTAGTGAAGAAGTTAACAGTCTGAATACTGTAATTACACCTGATCATGAAGTTATCAGTCTGGATAATAATCCTGGTGATAGTGTATGAGAGCATGGAACATGAATGAAAGATGGAGACAACTGAGGCTACTATAAATATCAACTTGCTTTTGTAGCGGGTAGGAGCTGAAGAGCATGAGGTACCAGGTCCGTTCTCCCACACGAGAGCATCTTGAAAGCAAGGTCAACCTTGAATTTTTTGGCACACTCCATCTCGTCAAGTTGCCGTCGAGGACACATTAACTCCTCATAACTGGTGTTTAGAAAAAGGTCAGACCGTGGTCAGGTGAAGCTGAAGAGACACTTTTCATAGAGACAATTCTAAATCATATAACATGCTGTAATTCATACTTAATTTTAAATAAATAATCCAACCCATACTTATGAAATTAAAGTGATAATATTTTGGTCCATCATGACTTAAATAACTTAAAAAGTTATTTCATTTCATTTCATGTGTGTAGGTTGTGGGTTTTTTCTTTCAGCCACATTATTGTGGCTTACTGCATTTTCTAAATATAAAGTGTTTTCCCAAACTCCTTTACTTTTATTTTATTTGTTACATATATTTTCTAGCTTATTGTATAATGAAATCAACAAAGGTTTACTTTTTCAGATTTTTTTTTTTAACTGGCTATTCAAACTATTCAGTACAGCTTTGTTAGGGTTATTTTGTTAATGGTTAATTTCTTACCCAATCATTCGTACAGGACAATCTACCCCTGGAAGGAGCAGTCTGGCTGCCTGCATAACATCATCTTTATCAACAACAGTGGAATGACGGTGCTCGGTATGGGCTGTGGCAACTCTTACCCACTCCAAGAGGGGCGGTAGCACAATATACGGTCGCTCGTACACGAGTTCTTGGATTGGTGCTCGAGAGGCATGCTCCGCGTGCTCCAGCTGACTACACCGCATAAAGTAGAAGAGAGCGTGCAGAGCCGACGGCCCCCAAGTTACCTGATACAAAAGGTGCCCAATGTTAGTATATGTGGGGTAAATGCAAAATACTGTCCTTAAAATTAGTAAAGTATTGAATGAAAGGCATCAAAGTTTTGAGCATCAAGCTAACAAAACTAAAGTTACATTATTACAGTATTCATAAACAAATATTTTAAACTGTATACAATATATGCACATTATTTACAAAAGTTTAACATTAAATAATGAAACTAATGAAAAAATACATTCAGAGTAAAATTTTTTGAATATTTTTTTTGTATAATAGTTCTTGTAAAATGTAATGTAAGGTTTTTAGCAATGTGATATTAGCAAGCTAACAATCTTTTTATAAAAAAAAAATCTTTGGGAAGTATACATAATTCTTAAGATATTTTGGCAGTCCATTGCTGACCTGAGCTCGTGTTGGCGAGTTGCTGTTAGCAGCACGATGGTGGTGTGGGGCAACGCGGCTCAGTAGTTCACTCAGTTCAGCCAAGGAACCCACGCAAGTAGTTAGTAGTGACTGCTCCAAAGTCTTATAAGTAGAAAAAATAAACATTATTTTATCATCATGCCAAATTTAACACTTTTGTGGGAGTAGGGAAGCATTAACGAGCAGAAAAAAGGGAAGTACAACGACACCTCGGCTTACGTATGCCCCCATTTATGAAAATTTTGGGTTACAAGCCCAATTTCTTCGTAAAATTTGAGTTAGATTACGAACTTTGCCTTAGATAACGGAGTTTGTCAATATGCATATGGGCGACCTAGCGCGTGGTTCCTGGTGGCACGGTTGCCCGCTCTTCAGTTTACCAGTGCCTCCCGCTTAGTGACGACCGCACTTGATCTCTTTGTGTAAAGAATTTAATTGTTTTTTGTCTTTTTTTGGGTTTTGAACATGAAAGTAATTATCATATATCACGCCATGGGTCCCAAGAAAGTCAGTGTTAAGGTTCAACCTAAGAAAACACATGTGAGGATGACCATAGAGCAAAATCAAGAGATCATTTGTTTACATGAAAATGGTACCCAGGTTGTTGAACTAGCTAGTCAGTACAGCAAATCTATGTCAACGACATGCACTGTAATTGTTAAGGAAAAAGGACTTTATAAGTGCTAACGTGGCAAAAAGCATATCAACAATCACAAAACAAAGAACACAAACACTTGAGGATGTTAAAATGTTGTTATTAATTTGGATACACAACAAGGCATTAGCAGGTGATAGCATTTCAGAGGCCATCATTTGTGAAAAAGCAAGCCTAATGCATGAAGACCTTTTAAAGAAAACCCCTGGAACAAGTGATGCAGATACGAAAGAGTTTAAGGCGAGCAGAGGATGGTTTGAGAAATTTTGAAATGGAAGTGGCATTCACAGTGTTGTGAGAGTTGAGTGTTGTGTATTGCGAGTTGGGGGAGGAACACAACAAAGGACTGACCACCGAAGAACTAGCCTTTCACTGGGAGCAGCAACAAGAGGCAGCTGAAGAAATTTCTTCACTGGGGGAGGAGGAAGCAGTACAGAATGTCCCTGCCTCAACAACTAAGAAGTAAGTGGAGTAGACTATGGAAAGAAATGCAAACTTTTGTTGAAATGACTCACCCAGAGCAAGCTGTAGTAGGTCACTGCCTTAACCTTTTTAATGACACTGTGATGCCTCACTATAGACAAGTATTACAACGTAGGGAAAAACAAGTCTATGGAAAAGTTTTTAGCGAGAAAAAACAAGCAGTGAGCCACAACCAGGTTCTAGTGGAATGCAGGCAAAACGTGCCAGAGAGAGCACCCCAGAAAAGTCATCACTGCCTGATGTTATAATGGAAGGGTACTTCCCTTCCAAACACTAACGGTGAAACACTAACGGGACGATGAAGACCCTTCACCGTCTTCCATATGCAAACAAGTCGTGAATAAAGGTATACTGTAACTTGTACATACTATAGTACTAAGTATTTGTGTGAATTAGGCATGAAATCTATTTTTAAGTTAATATTTTTGGGAATGTGGAACGGATTAATTAAATTTACATTACAGGCATTTCTTATGGGAAATTTCCTTTCGGGTTGCGAATTTTCGACTTGCAAAAGTCTCTGGGAATGGATTAAATTTGTAAACGGAGGGGCCACTGTACAGTATTACAGAAAAAGTTCAAGATGATAACCAAATTACATATAGGGAGAGATTAATAAGCACTACACTCCAGTAAATTACCCACTACAGCAACCCATCACTAAGCAAAGGGGTGGTGCAGTGGATAATTTATGTGTGTACAGTATACAGTGCTCCTTCAGAGTTGTTATATACAATATGATACTTGCTTCCTCTTCACAAATTGCTGTCGCTGCCAACTAAATTTGTTCCTTACCACATCCCATGTTCTCTTCACATTGAATCCATGCTTCCTCTCACACACCATGTTCACCTATTTTCTTCTCAGTCTTTCTTTCATTCTCCTTCCCTTAAATTCATTTTAATATACTCTCTTCTTCTATTATCATGCATGCAATACAAACAAACCACTTTAATACAATATCCTTAATCTTAATTAAATTAATAACCTCATCCCCCACACGTAAAGAAACGAAAGTGCCAAGATTTTAATCCCTCCTAGACTCCTTGTTATGTCTTGTCCACAACGGCCCAAAACATTGTCATTTTCCTTTCTTTTCATATGTGTAGGTTGGATTATTTGTTTCAACCACATTATTATGCCTTATTCTCTCCTTAATCTTGTACAGCATTCTAAGACAATTTAATTTCTTTATCTAATCTCGTGTCACTGCGCACAATTCTCAAATTGTTCAATCCTACTGCTGTAATTCTATATTTTCACATTCGAACCACAAAGCGTTTCGCAACCATACTTAATTGTAGGAACTATGACTGCTTCAAGCCACTCTCTGGCTGTCTCTCTCTGTCTTGTTCTTCTTAACCAAAGCTATCATTGCACTAGGCACTTTCTATGCACCCGACCCACTCTATTCTCAACTTCACCAGAACAAAATCCTCTTTCAAACCCATCAGTTGGGCAGATGCAATAACTAGCTATAATACTTTTTAAATAAATATCAATTTAACTATTTGAAAACATTTATTATATTTAAAATTTTCAGTTTCATATAAAAATTTCTGAACTGCTTTCAGAAGTACGGTAACAGTAAATACTGTATATGGCTGTAAGAAAAATGTAAATTTTGATATTGGCAACTAAACTTACTAACTATTTAAAGATATAATTTTATTTTAAACAAACCTAAGAGGATAGTGCTTAGTATAATATAATAAATAATAATTACATAATAAAACATAATTACTCTGCATTCTGATACCTTGCTACTCCTGGAGTGCTCCTCTGGAGTGAGCGTTACACTCGACGAGCACCGAGAGGCCTGGGCACCACTACTGTTGCTTCCTGAACCTCCACTCCCTATACCCTCATTTCCTCCTGAGGCAGTAGCTGAAGCTCCAGTGCCTCCTGCTGCGCCACCTGATCCAGCACCACCTCCACTTCCTCTACTGGCTCCAGTGGACGAGCTGCTGACTGAAGTAGCTTCGATGCTGCCTGTACTCGCCCATCGTGGCAGACAGAGTGCACCTAAACAAATATAATTACGATTTAAGAATGAACCAAAAAAATAAATAAACTGTAAACTTGAAACTTATTTTATAAACAACAGTCAGAGTTCAATAATATTCATAACTCTTGCAACCATTTTAACAATGTATAATGCTATTAGAATACTGTATGTCATCAGGATTTCTGTTACTACAGAATATTAAATACAGTAGTTTCTTCATCACGGCCACACTTGGAGATAAGTTACTACTATGCGTGCAGAAGGCAACTTTCAGGTTAAAGTCAATCTAGCATTTCAACAGCTACCAAGAATATTTCTTCCTACGTCTACAAGCATGTCATCTTAAGATAACCAAAAAACAGTTAGGGAGTAAAAGTAATTATTATATTTTCTAATTCCAAAGACATACCCATTTGCTCTTGGGTGTGAGCACTGTTGATATGGTATAAATGTCTGCTCTTTGCTTGTGAGTGAGGTATGAAGCATATACTGTATTGTAATATCTGAAAGTTGCCAATAAATGTACTACAACTTGTGTGCCCAGAGGCATTGTTATGGACACAGGTGGTAGGGGCATGCCCTTCCTTCTACTGCTGGAGCTTGGAATACTTCTTGTTTTTAATTTTGTCTTAATGCAGGGTAATCCATTGCTTTAGTTCACTTCACTAGATGTTACAAGCTATTTGCGCTTGTCTAACTGTTCCAAAGGTACTGATTTTTTAAGTGAGGGCCATAGAGTAATATTCTCAGTGACCAATGGTGTGCACTAATGTGGCATGGCTCTTTGTAAACAGGCCACTGCCTTTTGTGATAATAAGCTGTCCTTGAAACCTCAATTATCCTTTGGAAGGGAAAGGGGAGTTATTTATTTCAGCTCCCTTGTATTACAGCAAGTGGCTTCTGGCAAAAGATTGAGAATCCTCATTATCCCTTACCCAATCATGTGTAAGTCTGTTTGAAAAGGTACTTTCCAAGGTGGGACAAACGTCACAGAGGGCCTGACTTTCGGGTAGACCCGAGCTGGTGACTGCGACTACCAGTGACCAGGGAGGATAGCTCAGAAAATTTTAGTCTTTGAATGTCACTTGGATTACAGTACAAGTCTTTAAATTAAATACATGTTTCAGGTGACAATATGCCTTTGAGACCACAATTCAGAAGTTGTTACATACCTGTGTCTCTTGACCCACAATATGAATCCTTACATGTCTTGAGAAAAAACTAAAAGGAAAAAACAGAAAAAATAAAAAGTACCAGTAGCCGTTCTGCCAGCATTGAGATGAGCATATGGCTGCAACAGACCCCACAGGTCTCCATTGTTGGCAATAGCATGCTCAAGGACACTAGCAGTAAGCATATGGTCTTCTTCTGCTGGGAGGCATTGCAGTACCATCTCTTCCAACAAATTCTCCATCCCTGCAGTCAGGTACACAGCAGCATACCTACAAAAATAATATATATATGTATATACAAAATATTTTATTTGCTTTTGGCCATATGATGTACAGTACTCTGGTTCACTGAAGGCCTATTTAATAACTGTGTGGATGAGCATTTACTGACAGTATATCTACATGGGAGGAATTGTGGTAACCCAAATGTGAACTCCAATGGCTTCACATGTTTATGAAAGCAGTGTCTCCTGTGACTCGTGTTTACCATGTCTTAATTAATCACATTATTATAGTAAACATTAGAAGTGACCAAATACTGTAGCTGTTTGAAATGTGATAAGAGAAAAGTTTAATATTCCAATAGTCTCTTGGTCCCATTATATAAACCCAATCACATACACCTTCATCAAAAATCATCTAATAATTCAACTGTCTCCCTAAAGTTACTTTTTTTTAATTAAGCCATAATATCTTACACCTTAGCTTACAATCATTAGCTGAATTTACATAACTTAATTTGTCGATACTTGACTTTAATGTTGGCCATGTCCAAAATTTGAGCCAAAAAAGGCAACCTGGAACTAGGATAGGGCAGGCACACACACACACGTAGTAATTACTCCACAGAGAAAAAGCACTAATGATAGGTTAGTTTAGTTTTGTTTATTTTGGATCCCATACCAATACTGTGGGCGGTAGCAGAAAAGATTACAGAGGAACATAATGGGCTCAGGGACTGAACCCCAAAATTCCTTTAGCTAAGCAAGTTGAGGTCTATATAAGCAGGTAAAGTAAATTCCCAGAGATACTTATAACTGAATCTAAGCTGAGCAGTAGTAGCATCAAATTCCATTCCAAGACTGGAAAATAAGGAAATAAGTCACTTCCTCAGACAAAGAACAAAGGCACTCTTGCAAGAGATGAAAACCAGATATTGCAACCAAGAAATGACAAAGGACCTAAACAGCACACTCCATATCAGAGATAACTAACCATCTGAAACACAAAAATCTAACAAATCGAATCCCAGGAGACACTTAAGGAGTCAAATCACACAACAATCTCAAAGGAGATAGCTCTGGCAACAATCTGTCTTCAACAATCAGTGCTAGGGATACAAACATTAAAAACGAAGCTGAAGCAGATAGCAAAGTTCAGAGTCATGCCAGATGACTGGGCACCACTCAAACATGGAACACACATCAGACAAAGCTTATCTAGTCAACTTAAGTGACTACTAGTACCACACCAGAGCTGCGTAATTCATACAGTGATTGCCAGGCACAAAGTGTGGTTGCAACCTAGTTGCACTAGCTAGTGCTGTCACCTGCAGGTATTTGATGTAGGGGTAGTTACTAGCTATGTTCTTTTCAAAATGATAATTAGCTATCTTAATAAACCCAATGATTGTTAGGATGGGGTATCACGTGGTTTAACATGTTCATTGGTGTCACAGCGATAAGTTTTTTCTCTCTCTCTCTCTCTGGTGGATTGACAAGTGCAATTCTCATCCATGTACTAAGAGACAAGACCATTTTAAGGGGTGTTATCTGTGGGATTTTAACCAGGCATGACATGTTGACGCCAACGACAGTGACCTGGATGGACACCGATATGGATCAGGGGAGGAATTGGGGGGTGGGGGGGGGGGGGAGGTCCTCACGCAAAGTTACGTGGTCTCACACTTTCGTGGGGTGCAGATGCATTGGCCCAGATATAAAAAGTTGAGTAATATATATAGTACAGTAGTAAGACATTAGTAGTTATAGTCATTAGATAATAAAATATTAAGATATATCACTAGAATATTAATTACGTCATTCACAATGCAACATATACCATTAAGATGTGGCAACCTCACCACCCACTGGTGTGTCAAACATTTGACTTCACATCTTCTGCATTACAGTAATATGGAGATTGGGCTCAGGATCTTCTCAAACTTTTCCTACTAAAGTTCAAAATTGCTTACTGTACTGAGGGGTGAGGACATTAGCCATTATGATTTTTTTGACATTTGTTTTATTTGTGAATAAAGAACAGTATATGTTATGCAATTTCTTCCACACTAAATATATTTCTCCAATAATAAGTAATTCACCTCTTCACAGACAAACAGGATGGTGGAAACTGCACACACACACACAAGATATAACAGATGTCCCTCCATTAATAATTTCCATCACTTACTCATGAATGAACTTGCCAATGCGCACATCACACATCCACCTCATGAAGCGTCCTACGGAGAGGTTGAGTCCTGCCCGGGCACTCTTGGACTGCCGCAGCTGGTCTCCACACACTGTATACATGGCAGCTGCTCTCAGACAAGCCTGCATAAGATCATCATAAGATTAAATGAAACATCAAAAGGCCTGTTGGCCCGTGCGAGGCAATGCCTATTTATCCAAACCAATTTCGTTCATATGCATGTCTAACCTTTGCTTGAAAAAAACCAGCATTGAATGTAATGAAACGCCATTTTCTGGGCAAGTCCCGGAGGCTCCCTGGAGCTATCCATGGCTGATATGGATAGCTCCGGGAAGCCGTTGGGGCTCCCCCCAGAAAACCAGTGATTTTCCATCACACATGTAAGTTGGTAATTTGTTCTATAAATCAAAAACCTTATTTCAAAACCAAATATTTACTCGGGTCTCTTGTGAATCTAATCTTTATATGGTTTAAAACATAATGAAATTATGAAGATTATACTTATGTATTTTACTGCCTGTACACTCCACCTACATGGTCTTGTAAATAAATGCCTACATACACTGCAATGTTCAAGTGTGTATCACAAGACTCTCCTGGCTTATAAGACGAGGCAAAAAACAATCATTAGAAAGAAGCTAAACAGTACAATCCTCAAAATATTGGTCCATGAAGCTCAGGATCACTAATAACCCAACTCACACATATGAAAAAGAAAGGAAAGTGATTATGTTTCAATCTGTTGTGGAGCCTTATTAAGCCATCATCACTTGAAATCAAGTGATGATGGGTTATTAGTGGGTATTAATGGGTGATGGTGGGTATATTATTAGAGGCCTAGGATAGACCAAAATGTTGACACCTCTTTCTTTTTATGCTTGTGGGTTGGGTTACTAATTTTTAGTCATGTTACAGAGACTTATTCACATCATGATCATTATTACCTTAATACAAGAATCTGCCAGAGCTGGAGATAGTACGATCTTGAGAGCAGAGGACACCTCCTGCTTACTACACATTGCCAGGGGCCTGGTGAGCCTCTGAGCCTCTCGGGCCACTCTTACCAACGCTCTCTGCAGGAGGTATGACAATCTTGGTACTGCCTCCATGGACACCCTGTCCAGCTGCTCTCTCACTCGACCCTGTTGTACTACTCTTAGAACATCATGATTGCTCCAGGGCAACTGCTGCAGCTCTACCAGTCTGTGACAAGTGCATTAGAAAGCGTTTGCCTATTAACTTTCATATTCAAATATTTTTGAGAAAGCTATTTATTTATTTAGTTATGGATGCACAAAGCATCACAATGTGTGTCCTACACACAGAAATCTGTGATTTATACACACATGTGATTTATGTGTGTCCTACTTTTGGAAAAATAAAAACCTAAAACAATATAATATTTAATTTAAAGCTATTATATTTCAAAGTCAGGATATAAACAAGAAATGTACAGTACCCGAAAGCACAGAGTACCGTACTTCTAATTATATATACAGTATTAGAAAGTATTTAAACTTTTTGATAGGGATAGTTATTGATAATTTAAGACTCATAAAGGTCTTATTTCACCCAGTTTAACTAACCTGGTAACTAAAAATAGTAGTGGCAACACAATTTTTTTTTTTAAATTGCCTTAATTGCAGAGTTATTCAAGCAAATTAGGATATTACCTGTTATGAGAGTCAACCCAGACAAACTCATCAGCCGCTGTTACATTGGTATTAATGGTCTCTAGGGAGGAATGACGCATCAATCTCCTAACTGGCTCGCCTTCAGACCCTGACATTGAGGAGTAGGTTGAGGTCGAGTAACTAGTTCTTGACCCCTGGGAGCGCATGGTCAGCTGTTCAATGGCTTGTTTGATATCCTCGAGACCACTAGCACTCTCGAGAGTTAGCGAGAGGTCATCCTGGAACAACAATAAGTGTCATGAAAAGGAAAAATAACAGAAAATGGCAGTTTTACAAATGTAGTTCATCAAACTATGAATTTTATAAGTATTAAAATAATAAGTATCGCTTTGCTATTCCTAGAGTATGACTAAACTTATGCAAATGTGTGTTATACAAATAACATCGCCCAATATATTGGACTCCCTACCTAATGAAGCAAGCAAACTGCACCATGTATACTTTCTTCAAAAGTACAACAAAGAAGTACTTGTTATTTTATAAAGAAGTACCCAATTTCCTCACGATAGCACCCCAGCTTGTAATTACCTAAGTGTAATTACCTAAGTGTAGTTACAGGATGAGAGCTACGCTCGTGGTGTCCCGTCTTCCCAGCACTCTTTGTCATATAACGCTCTGAAACTACTGACGGCCTTGGCCTACACCACCTTCTCACTTAACTTGTTCCAACCGTCTACCACTCTATTTGCAAAAAAAATCCAGCCCATCAACCGTGAAGAGCTCAGTTCCCCAGGGTACTGTGCTTGCTCCAGTACTTTTTCTCATCCTCATATCGGACATAGACTGTACATAGATTGTGTTACTGTACTTGTGTAACTACAGTGGTACTCTACTGTCTAAATATAGAATGGCAATATCATTTCTCGTTATCACCACCTTACCCTATCACTAGTGTAAATGCAGTGCTTATGTCAACTTAAATTATTATAATGTCTCCCTGTAAATCAAGTCATTTGCTTTATTTCTTTGTTCACCACTGTTCACCTTGTGACTGTTCACTTTGTAATTTAAAATTCAATGCAAATTCTGTGTTAGCTTCATGACTTGCCCAATATGCTATGCATGTTAAGGTAGTGACTTTGTGAAAATGTATCAAGTACACTACTACCAAAACCTATAACAGCACAGTACATTGTACTTTCGTGAATATAAATATAAAGTATATATATATATATATATATATATATATATATATATATATATATATATATATATATATATATATATATATATATATATATATATATATATATATATATTCTCATATATATATATATATATGTATATATAGTATAGCAACACTGTAAATAATACTGTTGTACAATAATTCGTTTACCTTGGAGGGAGTAGATCTGTGTCGTGGCCACTGTTGACCTCTTCTGCCCGACCCTGCCCCTTTATAGCCAGCCCCAACTGAGGTGACAGCAGCAGAGAGTCGCTCATCCTCGGGCACAACCTTCAAGTTGGATCTTAGGTGGTCGTGTCGGGGCAGTGAATCGATGGGTGGGGAAGAGGAAGTGTGGCCATCTGACATCGAGGCATGCCCAGAGGATCTGTTCTCATCTGACGAGGATCCTCCCCCATAAGAGTCCTGCCGACGCTACAAGTTGACAAGTTAAATAATAAAGTATACTTACTGAAATTCATGCATACAATATATCTCCACAAACCAATTAAATCATACATATATAATTTTATATACAGTATATGATTTATGCCAATGTTTGAATAAAATACAATTTAACAGCACAATGACTGGCTGTTGGGATAACTATATGCACCAAATTTTAAGAATGTAAACAGTACTGTATATACAGACACTCTACATTTATGTGGGGGTAAGGTGTTTAATGTGTGTTTTATGGGAACCTGAGGACATGTGGTAAGTGCTTGTTAACAAGGGAAATAAAGATATATCAGTAAAGTCTGTTGTTGGATGCCATGCCATGTGTGTGTTAAATATTTGCTGCAAGTTCTGACTGCTTTCCACAAATACAAAATTCAACCTTTTTAATAAAATATTAAAGATTAATATAATTTATAACATTTTCTGTAAGTTTCATTGCTTGCATACTGGAAGTTCGTCATATTTATCAATGTAATCCACAGACCATTATATAAGGTTTAATGGTCTGTGCAATTATTCAGGTAATTATACAGATTACAATGGATTATTCAGGTAATACTTACCTGAATAATCCATAACCCATTATACCTATGGCATCTGTATTGTATAGCCAAATCATCATCTTTTAAAAGTAGTGGTTAAGCTCACCAATATGATCCAAAGGTTATTAAAGCAGTGGAAGGTCTTACCTGTATGACTCGCAGCTCATCGACAGACAGGTGGTGTGGAAACGAAAGAATGTTTCTTCTCTTAGACTTCAATTTGGTGGGCGGTCGCTTGCGGTTCATCATGTGGTCACCATCCGAGGAACTCTTGCTGAGCGAGCCACAGTCAGTGCTCTCAGGGGTTAATTGGCCTGCAGGGCGTACTAGGTGGCCCAGATGAACACTTAGATGACCATTTAGGTGATGCTTGTTCAGTTCATTATAGGTATCAACATCATCAGGCAAGACAGTGAGTGCCATCTTACTAGTGACTTCTGATAGCTTCTTGAGGTCACAGCCATCGACCAAGACTTCGGGGTCACCTTCGTCTTTCTCGGCTGGATAATCTCGGTACTTGTCATCCAGGGTGTCATCTGCGCAAGAACTATTATTGTTGTTGGTGGATGAAAAACTGATATCTTTCTTTAGATCGAGGGCATCGATAACCTTCTCTGGGGGGTCATGTGACAGACGCTGACCATGGGAAGGAGAAGACTGCATATGCAGTGCCGGCAGTGGTGAGTAAGTAGAGGTTGGTGGGCCAGAGACTATGTATTTCTCTGGTGTCATTGGGTAGCTGCCCTCCCATACGGCATTCGTACTAGTGGTGTTACCTTGTGAGGCAGCGGGTGTGTCACGTTCAGGGTACTGTTGCACAAAGTGACTGCTTAACCCCGCTGGGCTCAATCTAGGGGCACCAACAGGTGAGCCCTCCAATTTGGCCAGATCAGTTTTACCATAGTCATGCTGTGGGCGGGAGTCAGTCATCTTGACAGGTGGACTGGCCATTCTCAGTGGTTCCTGAAGTTTCACAGGCGGAGATGTCACCCTGTGAGGGGAGGCCACACGCTCTCTGAGCGCGCCGCCTCCCCCAGAAGACCCAAGCATACCAAGGGTAACCCCTGGGGACTGCAGTCGCTGGGCTGGTACTACCTCCCGACTTTGAGCCTTGTAGACTGGTGTGTTGCCACCATTCTTACTAGAGTAATCTTGTGGTTTGGTTGGGTAGTCCTGTGGTTTACTAGGATAGTCCTGAGATTTTGAGTAGTCTTGTAGCTTGCTTGGGTAGTCCTGAAGCTTGCTGGGGTAGTCCTGAAGCTTGTGATGATAGTAGTCATGGCGTGAGTAGTCCCTGTGGGCCAGGCTCAAGGGTTGCCCCACCAAACGCTCTCGAGACCCAGCCCTCCCCTCACGCCCACGGCCCTGTGCCAGAGAAAGGTAACATGTCAGTAACTGGGGGCAATAGAGTGAAGAAACAATGGAAATAAGCTCTTGTTAAGGCATTATCTATTTACCTTATGATTACCTGTTGCCGATTTCAAGAGCACTTCTACTCCCGCAGCCTAGCCTGTGATCTGCCTTCCCTGGTATAATTAATTGTCTGGTCTGTGAGGTTGTCTGTCTTCGTAGCCCAAAGCCCATTGCAGACAAAGGTAAGACATATTACATAATTTTAATTCTGGTATACTGAGCAATACAAAATAAGGCAAAGCACAAATAGAGAAGTACCTGACATAATAATAAAATATTTTCAGTAAAGAAAATAATAATAAATATTCCAAGATCATAACTATTTGGGGTGGAAAACTATTAACTTTAAAAGCTTCCTTAAACAATACTAAATAGGAGGCTGAAAAAGATACTAATTAAGTGCTGGGACTATTAACAGAGAGCATTCAGTGAGGGCATCACACCCAAACACACAGGATTAAATCACCACAATAAAACTGGGGTCTCATATACAGGATTGAAATGCCAGAATAAAACCAGCATTGAAAGCAATGAAATGCCTATTTCTGGTAGTTCCTTGTTGCTAGGTACCTGGATAGCTCCACTCAATTCAGTGGTGATCCACTCAGAACCCTAACCAAGAAAAGGTCACCAGGAAGGTGGGCAAGCCAAAACACACAATCAGTAAGATGAAAAAGGAAAAGAAAACGAGACCCGAACCAAACGAACCACCAGTTACGAAGTGACGGCGGGGGACGCCAGAGCACCATACTCCCCCACCAACTCCCAAGGCACACCACGAAGGGGAGACACACTCCGAGCCCGCCGCGAACGCTTCGAGACAGGCCGCACCACACCACTCCCAACAGGCCCCTCCGCAGGCACAGCCACCATCTTCACATTCACACAGGCCACACCCGCACCGTCCGAAGAGGCCACATCACCCACACTGTCCACATCATCCAGGGAAACAGGCTAAGAATACCGACGCGCACGCTTCTGCAAAGGGATGGAAAGAGCAGAACTACAGTCGCCAACACACACAGGCACGGCAGGCACTGCCCCCTGCCGAAGCCCCCCCCCCTCCAAAACAGCAAAACCCACGTCCCCGGGAGCCGGTACCACATCCACAGGCGGGAGTGGGACATGAACCTCCACCGGGACATCCTGCACGACACGCAGCGCAGGCGACGGCCCAACACCCACACACACCGGCTCAACAACCCCAGGGGCCACAGCAGTCACCAGACGTGTCGCACAGGTCGTAGAACTCTCCTCAACAGGGGGAGCAGCAGACAGGCAATCGGGCACCTCAGGCACAGTACCCACTCCGTCCTCAGAACCATATGAACGCAACAGGGGCGGAAAATTCTCCGTCACGAAAAACATATGCACCCGACCAGTCGCTCCCACGTCGCACACTACAGCCAGATGACCCTCTTGACCACACCGATAACAGGTGCGCGGTTGACCCCGATACTGGCAGCGGAGCGTGTAACCCAACATGGACATCGACGACGGTACACTATACTTCAGCGACATCGTCAGGGTGCGGGAGCCGTCAAGCATACCAACACAGTGCCCGGCAAGGACCTTGTTCCAACGAATACTTAACACTGTCCCAAATCGTTCAAAACAGGAGGTTAAAAAGTCGTCCTGAAATTCGAAGGGGGCACCATGCACCGCCACAGACGTCAAGGTGACACTAAGATTCACCACCTTAACAGAACCAGCAGTATCAGGGAGAGGGTAAACACGCCCCTCACACCGCTCGAGAAACGCCTGAAGGGCAGCCTGGAGGTGGTACTTGACCACAGCACGGTGGCCCTGAAGCAGCTGGACGCCCACCAGGTCCGACAGCTGCACATGAAGCACGTCCACCAGGGCGACACCAACCAACGGATGGTCCACCGGCACCGTAAATGCCAGACCAGCCGACAATGTCCTCTTCACTGGAGGGCGAGAAGTCCCCATGGCTAAGGCAAACGTCACCCTGTCCGTGGCAAACCACCACCAGCAGCAATCACCCAACGTAAACACTAGCCAGAAGCGGAGAGACCTCAGGACCACGCAACTCTTACATATTCTTTCTATGTGTTATAGTCTTACTAGGTTTACACTTTCTCCCTCGTATCTTACCTTCCCTAATAATACTTACGGTGCCAAAACGGGAGACGAAATACATTATTTGGGGTCAAAGGGGTTGGATGGATCACGTTAGACTTGGCTCTTGAGCAGCCAACGGCCCTCCTAGTTTTTTTTTGTATTAACCGTACCAAAGGCTTCTGGCCATGGTGTCAAAGAGGCTTAATCTGGCCATGGTGTTAAGGAGGCTTAATCTGGCCATGGTGTTAAGGAGGCTTAATCTGGTCATGGTGTTAAGGAGGCTTAATCTGGCCATGATGTCAAAGGGGCTTAATCTGGACATGCTGTCAGAAGGCTTAATCTGGCCATGGTGTCAAAGGCTTCTGGGCACGTTTAGTTAATTTTCCACCTCAGACGTGACCATCCAGGTACAATGCAAATTATCATACGTACTTTTCCTTGGTCCTCGTGGCCATTGTCCAACAACTGAGAACGTCACTTCAATTACCACAGAGCATTATTGAAGTGCTTCTTCCTACTCCAGATGTTGCCATTCCCTGCGCACTGACCAAGTGGTCTTCTGTTCACTGTTCACCGTCTGACCAGTCTCCTGTTCACTGTTCACCGTCCGACCAGTCTCCTGTTCACTGTTCACCGTCTGCAGGATCATCTGCGCCCATCCTAACTATCCAGTAATAGTGTGGTGGTGGTGTGTGGGGGGGAGAGGGGGGATGAAATAGACTAGCCTTCTCTCCCCCGCCCAGCTCTGAATGGGGGTGTCCTAATGGTGTTGAAGCATGGTGCTGTTGACCTCTTGACCTCTGTTGTGACCCCTTCTCGTCAGTTAGGCGTCGTCTGCGCTGCTGGGTACACTACACGACGACATGCAGGGGCTCAGGCTCACGGGCTATTACGGGCTCACCATAGCCCGTGCTGCTTGGAACTTTTTGTTCCAGGTGGCGAATCTTAAACAAGACATGCAGGGGTGACTGCGTTTGTGGCCGGGGGAGGTTGGAGGGAGCAGGCAGACTTACGGCAAGGGAGAAGCTGTTTAGCGGGCCATAAATTACAGTGTTCTAGTCATTTCTTTCTTCTACTATGGAGCGGTGCTGCCCAGAGGCATGAGGAGAATGAGGTATAAGGAGGAGGAAGATGAAGAGAAAAATTAAGAAGCAGCAGGAACAAGAAGAGAGGGAATTGGCAAATATAAAATAAAGAGCCACAGGGAACATAAGAGTGGGTAGGTTAGGGGGGGGGGGGAATGAAGAATATGACATTACAGAAAATCGAATTGAAATTGAAATTGAAATAAGTTTCGAATAAGAAAAAATGGAAGAAATGCGACAAGAGAAGAATACCAAACAACGCCGACCAGGAGACTGGCAGTAGAACACAAGAGCCTCACACTGGAACGTAGGAGAAATGCATATTAGGAGTGAGTGTACATCTCTATATAAGGTGTGTGTGTCCTGTGTACCTTTCACAGAGACGAGTCTCTTCCTCCCCACCAACACCACCACAACAATCACCCTCCACTTCAACACTGCCACCCCCTACCCCACCATCCCCCTCCCCCAACCCACACTATTAGTGGGTTACCCAAGCTATTAGTGCTCACCTGGGGCATATGACTAATAACCCCTCCACTTTATCCCTTAATAACGGATACCCCATCTTATGACATCTAATATTAGACTCGTCTCTATCACCACACAGACAACTTATTCTGTAACTATACTGTCATCATTATATATAATTATTCTGCCACCATTCTATAATGCTGGGATATTAAACCTTTTTCAAAATTGTGGATTCTAGTATTATACACCTCGCCAGTAATCCGGTCAACAGGACCTTACGAAGACAGAGGCCCTGATGTGAAGGTTCCACGGGCTAAAGACAAGCCCAGACACAGGTCAAGATGGTCCACCACCACACACACCCACACACACCACCACACACACACACCACCACACACACACCACCACACACATACCACCACACACATACCACCACACACACCCACACACACCACCACACACTCCAATCATCGACCACCTCCGGGCTACTCACAAGAGGTCCCACCTCTTGTGGTGGGCCTAATCTTCATCAATCAGTCAAAAGATTCGAGCGTTCATTAGCACGCCTGTCCCGTCTGTCATGTGAATTTACCTGCTGCTCTCCCGGGAGGTGGAGAGGGTGTGGGAGAGAGGGGGAGGGGAGGGGGTTGAACACCTTAACCCTCTAGTCTTTGCACACACTGGTGCTGAGGTTGAACACCTCATTAATCATTGCACAATAACCATAGGCGGGCGATGAGGCACAATAACGTGGCTAAAGTATGTTGACCAGACCACACACTAGAAGGTGAAGGGACGACGACGTTTCGGTCCGTCCTGGACCATTCTCAAGTCGATTGTTACCCTCGGGACGACGACGAAACATCGTCGTTCCTTCACCTTCTAGTGTGTGGTCTGGTCATCAACAATAACCATAGGACTCTGGGAGAGTGATTGGATAATGGTAAATGAACTGACTCCGCAGCATTCTAGTCGACAAGACAGGACTGCAATTAATATATACTCCAAGTACTCTGTAGTTCATTAACGTGAATTTTCTACTCAGATTAAGACCTCCTATGTTATATTTAACCTAGTAAGGCAATTAATAAAACAAACTTATGGCCGTAAAATCCAAGAACAAATGGGAGGTACACTTAGTACCGACTTGACTTCCCAGTGTTTAAGACTACAAGCCAATCACAGAGCGAGGCCTCTATAGGTACTCCCCAGAGACTGGGGGATGTACTGATTGATTGATAAAGATTAAGCCACCCAAGAGGTGGCACGGGCATGAATAGCCCGTAAACATGTACGTTTACATGTTTACAAGTACAAGGGATGTACTTGTTTTCACAGGCCTATATATATATATGGACCCCTGGGCTTCTCCCCTCGACGGGAGACATCTCCCGTCATGCAGGGTGCAGTCGCACCTCCACAGATCTCCAGTATCAGCTAATGATACTGGTAGTGGCTCAAAAGGGCCACCACTTACGGGCTATTCATGCCCGTGCCACCTTTTGGGTGGCTTAATCCTCATCACTCAATCAGTTCTCATCAGGTGAGGAGGTCAGCTTGACAGCTTAATTGGTGTGGCTTTTATCGAGACATCCCTACCGACCGCTGCTCGCTCCAATTACAGCCTTCAAGACATGAAAACACTCATTCCCTTCCAAAACAAACTGGGCTGTTGCAGGCAGGTAAAGCTCACCTCGGCTCTTAGGTTCAGATGAGCCTAATAGCTGAGGTGATTAGTCTCACCTGGGGTATTAGGGCTCACCTGGGGTATTAGGGCTCACCTGGGGTATTAGGGCTCACCTGAGGTATTAGGGCTCACCTGAGGTATTAGGGCTCACCTGAGGTATTAGGGCTCACCTGAGGTATTAGGGCTCACCTGAGATATTAGGGCTCACCTGAGGTATTAGGGCTCACCTGGGCTACTTGGGCTCAGAAAGTAAGACTAGAACCGTGCGCGGTGTTCCGTGCAACATTGAAAAAATCATTGCAAGGGCTCTAGGGGAAGCATATACATTGATGCTAGACATTGTAAGAAGATGCAATATTGAACATGATATTGCATGACTCAAGTCTAGCAAGATGATGATGCTGTTGCAAAGTGCAGAGGGAAAACAAATTGAAAAAATGTCAAAGTATCATTTAGTGACAACAAAAATGGAGGGGTACAGAGGTTCCATTTTAGCGTGGGAAGTGTACAGCGGGTAGAAGGATGGTTTTTGAGTAGTAGGAGATAAGGTAGAGTGTGCAAGGAGTGTGAGGATGAGCAAGGAGGAGGAGGAGGAGGGGTTGCATAGGGTGAATCAAAGTATGAGTATGTGAGATTAGAATAGGTATGAAGAGGAAACAAGATAGGGAGCAAGGAAAAATGGTGGTATAGTAAGACTGAATCAAAGTTAGCTTACGTACAGTAACTGGATAAGTCGCTAGCAGCTTGTAGTGATTTCCTGCAGGAAGCATGGGGGGGGACCACTTCGTTAGGTGGACATACACATACACACACACACACACACACACGTATTCTCATCTCATCTTTATTCTCCATTGACATGCTCAAAGTCATCAAAAGTTAGTCTCAGAGACATTGAGAATACACACAAATTAATCAAAAATACTATTCACCCCATCAAAAGCTATTCTGAGTCATCAAAGATAATTTTAAAGAGCAAGATTACTCACACACTATAAAGTCTCTCACTGTGATGCAATTACTTATGAAAGATATTCTCTATAAGTGAAATCGACACCAATAATTCCATCTATCATCATACTATCATGCAAGAGGAGCCACACATCTATGGATCATCCAAGGCCGATATCATAAGATTGGATATTTATGCATTTCAAAGATCTTGTTAAATATAGACATTTGTTCAGTTCAAAGAATATTTGTTAGAGATGTAAGTTCAAGCACTTTGTACATTTTTTTATTTAAAGTTCATCAAGTCTCTCAAGTTGTATTTATCATATTTGATGTAATTGTTCTTATTCTTCATCCTTTAACCTTTCCTCTTTCTGATCTTAGTGTATTTATTGGGTTTTATTTAATGTATTCTTATTCTTTAACACCTCCAAGTTACTATACGTAAGCTAACTTTCCTTCAGTCTTACTATACCACATTTTTCCTTACTCCTTATCTTGTTTCCTCTTCATATCAATTCTAATCTCGCATATTCATCTTTGATTCGTCTTTGCAACCCCTCTTCCTCCTTGCTTATCCTCACACTCCTTGCACACTCTACCTTATCTCCTACTACTTAAAAAAGCATCCTCCTACCCGCTGTACACTTCCCCTCTAAAATGGAACCTCATACCTGCTGTACGCTTCCCCACTGAACGATACTTTTGAATTTTTTTATTCAAAATTTTCCCCAGCATTTTGCATCATCATCATCTTGCTAGACTAAAGCCGTACAATATATTGTCCAACATTGCATCATCATGCAACATCTGCCATCAATGCATATGCTTCTCCCAGACCCATGCAATGTTGCATGGGTCTGGGAGAAGCACGGTTCCAGTCCTACTTTCCTCTGTGCACGGTTCCAGTCCTACTTTCTCCTACTCTGGGGCTATTAGGGCTCACCTGGGGCTGATCGCGTGTGGGCTGCGTCTTGAGAGCTGGGGCCGACCCACCGCCCAGGTCCCGCACTGGAGTCTTGCCCAGCTGCTGTTGAGAGTAGGGCGTGAGGTCTCTGCTGCTGCTGGTGCTGCTCTGTGATGACTGCTGCTGTGTGTAGGGCGCCACTTCTCTGCTGCTGCTGCTACTGCTGCTGCTCTGCGGGGATTGTTGCTGCTGCTGCGCACGGAGCATCACACCACTGTCTGCGCTGAGGCGGTGAACATCTCCTGGTCTGTGGACAAAGACGTATGCTATTTTACTACGCACACTTACCATAACACACACACACATGCTTAATACTCACACTTTCAGTACACACTTAACGCATGCTCTTATAGAACACACTTAAAGCATGCTCTAATAGAACACACTATTCATCATTACAAACACGCTTTACAATCAATAGAAGCAATAAGTCATAATTATGTACTGTATACAGTATTAATAATAATTATACAAAATGTTAGGCTATGTTTCATTATTCACAACATTTGTAACTATCGTTTATAAGTCCAGTAATCCCACGCAGGAATACATCAACAAACACAAACTTGTTAATGCAGTAATAAAATATCCACAATTTCGAGAATACAAAATTGTGGAATATATATAGGAAAACTTCTTGTTGAAATCTTCTTGAAATCTAAAAACAACAATGAATCATCATCAGATCAGTCTAAATCTGATACTTGGGAGATACCACACGTCTTCAACAGTCACCAGCAACAATGTAACGCTCCACGAGTCCAGTTCTTACCCCTCACAAGACGCTTCAGCCTCGACACAGAGCAGAGGCCAGATTCAGGCCGCATCCAGCCTCCTCGCTCTCGTCCCGCATTTGAGCTTTTCGACTTCGCCCACATTCAGAGCACCGTGCTCTCTCTCTACAAACTCACCCAGCATCCGAGCTCTCTATCCCAGGCATCACTATGGTCTCTGCACTGCTTCAGGCTTCGTCTTAACTACTGTGACACTTCAGTCCAGTGCCAACAAACCGACTGCTGTAACCAAGACTATACTAAATAAATAAAAGAAACCACTATATTCTTTTTGTACTATCATCAAAACACGTACACGGCACCATACGTTAAATAATGATAAATATATTAGTACTGAAGAGTTAACCAGCCCGAAACGTTTTGCGTAATAGTGGCTTTAGGCATTGTATGTACTAGCTCTATAAATCCATCAATGTTTGTATCTCACCTTGTATGTACGTACTTTACCTGAATAAACATTTGATTTGATTTTGATTTGAACAGAAAACGCGGCCGTGACGTCATGATGTTGAGCCTGGCCCCTGCATTGAGCGCACACTAATTAAAATCTCCATGCCAGATGCGTTGTGTGCCGTGATGGATCAGTCTTCATGTATGTCTCCGAAATGAGCCTATAAAAGTGATAAGGATGGTAGTGGGTTCCACATCCAGGTGGCAATAAAGTTCTTGCAAACTCAAAAATGTCTGATATTTGTGCCGTGGGATGACACTAGTAAAAGAAAATGGGCCACCTGGTTTATTATTTAAGCATATACTGTGTATGTCGTAAAAGCCGCCGGGGAATATATGCAAGAAGTAATCGAAAAAAAACGCAAGCTTCTCATTCCTAAATTCCAGTCTTCCAGAGGCCAGTCTTCCTCTCCCGGAGGACTGGCCGAAAATTTAGGAATGGGGAATGGGAGGTATTCCCATTCCTAAATGGGAATTCTCCCATTTAGGAATGGGAGCAGACTGGGAGTGCTGGGGTTCCAGCACTCCCAGTCTGCTCTCCCTCCCTTGGAGCCTCCGGTCAACACTCCCTCCCCTGGAACCCCTGGTCAGCACTCCTCACAGGTAACATAATAAGCAGGTCAAAAGGTATCTTAAAGCCAGATAATACCAGAAGTAACCCCAGCAGAAAAGTTGCCAAAACCATATAAACCTGGAAGATAACCAATCAAAACAAAGAAAACGGAAAAGCGTTAATGAGAAATATGAGATCATATTTGTAAATAATATTTATAATACCTGTTAAACACCTGCACTGTGATAAATATTACAGAGAAGACGAACGAATGGTGACTGATGAGAGAGCGAGAGAAAGTGAGGGATGGTGAGGGTTGGTTGCCCTTGTGGTTGGGGGAGGGGGTAGGGGGGAGGGGTTGGCTAGGCCGGAAGAGCTTGGGAGTGGTTGGTTGGTGGTGGTGGTGAAATTGAAATTGAATTGAAATTGAAATAAGTTTATTGAGGTAAAATACACACAAAGGGATGAGGTAGCTCAAGCTATTCTCACCCCGTTCAGTACAACGTGTTAATATATACATATACACACATCACAAATAAACATATTACCAAACATTCTGAGAGGTAAAAATATACATTTCCTCCTTCACAAGTAGTATGGTATCAGACGTACACACAAATACTTTTATGACCTAGGTATACTGTATAGACAATTTGCAAGACACCTGCAGATAATTCAACAAAATATTACAATCTTGGTGCAAAATTCTTATATCTCTCAAGAATATCATCAACCTTTCCGTTGTGACACATCCAGGCTATTTGTTCAGGAACAGTCCTTATCTCAGTGTTTCTATATACACTAATCAACGGACAATCAAGAATATAATGGGCAAGGGTGTGAGACCTTAACATACCACATAGTTTACACTTCGTGTCATTACCATGAACATCTATCCCATATTCCCAGTAATATTTGTACCCAAGCCTGAGCCGCATGTACACAGAGTCACTCCAAGCATTTCTCCTTTTACCATAAGTGAAATGGGTGTTTTGACTCACATACATGTAGTGTTGCATGGTTTGACTACTCTCATACATTATCTCTCTCCTCTCCACTCCCGCCTGTGCCTGAATATTTCTGATTTTGCTTCTTATTTGTCTCATTGTGAATTCACATTCAATGTCAACTTGTGGTTTTGATGTGGCACGTTTGGCCAAGTCATCCGCCACCTCGTTGAGCACTATTCCAACATGAGATGGAATCCACATGAATTTCACACTATAACCTTTCAGCTGTATCTCAGTTATTCTTCTCTTACAGTCCTCCACTATAGACATGAAGACTGGGTTTCTACTGTTTAAGGACTCCAGTGCTCCTCGGCTATCGACAAATACAAAAACATTTTTGTCGTCATGACGTACTTCCTCCAAACACGCCAGAATGGCCTGCAGTTCAGCTTGTGTGGATGATATATAATTACTAAGCCGGAGTTCAATTATCCTGTCCACAGTCCCAAACTCCGTATAATCCCTTATTAGGACACCACACCCTGCCCTGCCATCCTCCGCCACCGACCCGTCGCAATATACATGTAAACTGTTGCCTCTTGGTAACCGAGATATCATGCTTCCATACAAACACCGTAATTGTCCCGGTTCATGATGAATCTTTTTCACCTTGAGGGGTACAATTTCGACGTCTATTTTCTGTACTTTCCAGGGAGCAGACATATTACACTTTCGAGAGGGTTTACAGCAGTCAAGTACGTCGTATTCCCTGAGGTCATGAGCTAATCCTCTCGTATAGCGAGTCTCCCTCAGTTTCCTGGAAGTGTGTACGTCACTCAAGCAGGTCTGAACGCTCTCAAACAGCTTATCCCCTCCTTTTCTCCGCATGAAACGAATAGATACTCTAGTGTTAATGTCACGGACTCTATCACACACACTCTGTAAATTTAATTCCATTCTCATTATTTCAATCATTGCATTTCTTTGACATCCAAGAATAATCCTCATAGCCTCGTTCTGTATCAGCTCTATTTTTTGAATTCTGCCTTGGCCTGTGTAAGACAATACGGGTGCTGCGTAGTCTATCAGGGATCGAACAGTGCTTATGTATAACATCCGCAAGATAGGTACCCCAACACCTTTACCAGAAAAAGCCAGTGCTTTTAGAGGATGCAGACGGGCTTTACATAAGGTGCTGATATGATTTATTTCAGCATTTTTACTCTCACATGTGTATCCAACATACATGCCCAGATACTTGTACTTCTGTACACGGCTCAGTTCCACACCATTTAGAGTAAGTGTTATATTTCTTCGTTTCCTATACTCGTATTTGGTTTTATCTGCATTTATAACTAAGCCTAACTTGTGACAGGTTGTACCAAGTATGTTAAGAGCATCTTGAATTTTGTTCCCAGAAGTGCCTTGTATAAGAATGTCATCAGCATATATGATCGTCGTGACCCCTGGAGGATACATCTCTGATGCTAATCTGTTCATTAATACATTGAATAAGGTGGGACTTAATACTCCCCCTTGTGGGGTACCTAACTGAAACCTCCGTTCCTCAGACATGTATCCCTGGTAATACACCTGACCTTTTCTGCCTTGCAGGTAATCCCTTATCCAGTGTAGCAATCTCCCTGTTATTCCCAGATTGGCTAATTCGTATAAGATTACTTCCCCATTGGCTTTATCAAACGCTCCTTGTAGATCAACAAAAACTCTACAATTGTCATCCACATTAGACAAACACTTTAAGAGACAATCCGCAGTACTTTTGCCTTTGATAAAACCAAAGAGATTATTGGACATGTTATCACCTACAAGGTAGAGTAGCCTATTTAACAAAATCCTTTCCATCATTTTACAAAAGCAGGATATTAAGGAGACAGGTCTGTAGCCTCCGTTTGACTTAGGGATAGGAATGATGACAGCCTCTTTCCATTTTCTTGGTAACTTTCCCTCTCTATAACTCATATTAAACAAATCAAGTAAGGGATTAGGTTTCATACCGGCTAAATAATTAAGTATGTCATACGTTACTCCATCTTTTCCCGGAGCAGTGGAGCTGCCACTTTTTATAGCATCCAGTAGCTCATCGTGGGTTATCTCAGTGCATGCTATAGATCTTGTATTTAAGGCACATAAAGTTACTCCATTTCTAATATTTTCCCATGACTCAATGGTGACTCTCGTGTCTGCAGGTAAGGACTCCATACCAGCAGCACTTGCCCATTTATCTACTAACTCATTAGCAACTTTCCCTGGATCTGAGTGAGCAATGAATTTAGTCTTACAACCCCTGACTTTATTTACTGCTCTCCATATGTCTTTAAGGTTCTTAGTATTACCAATGGCCTGAGCAAAGTCTTGCCAGTATCTGTCCCGCGCCTCCTTCCTCACCTGACTGCATTCCCTAGCCACTTCCAACATTGTATTTTTCTCTTCATCCCTCATTCCATTTTTTAACCATGCTTTATGCGCACCCCGTAGCATTCTCTCCCATCCCTTGACTTGCTGATCATTGGAATATTTAAATTTCTTAGGTCCGTGCGTCTTGCTTCCCCTGCCCCCGTTATTTTCCCTCTGTACTAATTTCTCTATGTTCTCGACCATGTCCTCGTAAAAACTATCAACGCAGAGCGGCGTGTAATGTTGATACCAATCTCCCATATTTTGAATAAAATAATTTTTCATATCTTTCTTAATATTTAGCCTTTTCCTTTGAAAGTGGACTTGTTTTTTCCCCAGTGGTAATTCAACGTTCAAGGCAAAGTGGTCACTAAGTAGTTCCCGAACAACCCGAGCCTCCCCCATAATCCCCTGAGAGTTTAAAACGCAGGCATAGTCAAGCCGTCCTCCCCTGATGTGAGTTGGTTCATTGTTTCCCAATAGACAGGTATCTGGATGATCTTGTAGAAACTGTAACCACTTGACCCCATTAGTATTAATACTACCCACTGTCCCAAGGCTTGTGTGCCGAGCATTAAGGTCCCCAATGACCAGTGAAGGATTAGTATAAATGCAGTCAGGTAAATAGTTAGCGTCGAAGCAGTTCCTGGATACATACAAATTAACTACAATAAATTCCCCTTCCCTTAATGATAATTTAACACAAACACTCTCTATACCTTGCGTTTTTGATGGCGGTTCTACTAACTCTGCTGGTATGGAGTTCTTAACATAAATCGACGTGCCTCTGATGTTATTTGCAGCGAAGAGGTGAAACCCTTTATAGCCATTTAATTTCAATAATCCTTCATTCCTATCCCCTGTCTCCTGGAGAGCTACAACATCAATATCATTTCCCATCACATAACAATGAACATCTGTAACCCTGTTTCTCAAACCATTAACATTCCATGACAACACTTTCAGTCTAGGGTGATCCATTATTAATCAATTCATTGCCTAAGTCATCCCCAATAAGTTCACTAAATGATAGCCATACCTTGTATAACATCTCCCACCTCCTCCCAAGTTCACCAGTAAAAGCGACATTGCGATTCTCAAGAGATTTTTTCAGCCCTGAGATGTCCATTATTGGCCCAAATGATTCCTTCATTTTATGTGTAATTATAGGGTTCTTCCTTTCACTACGACTACCATCATTCACACACACTTCACTTTCCTTCATTTCATCACTCAATATTTCATTTTTGTCCTCAACCACTATATCCTGACTATCCTTCACCGTTTTGTGATTTTCCTTGACCTCCTGAACGTTTAATTTAGCCTCGATGGACTCGATTCTCTGCCCCAGATTTTGGAGGAACTCACCAACTTTTTTAAGTTCAGCCCACACTTCCTTGACCATATTATTATGACCCTCTCTCTGAGCCACAGTAGCCACTTCACTCACCGTTACACTGTCACTGCCGGAGTCCTGAGTGGTGGCGTGGCTGCTTGTTGCTGGAGCCTGCCTAAGTAAAGGTGACTCCTTTACCCACGCATTCGTCCGGTTCACTGGCACTGTTTGGGGCAGAC